GCCGCAGACATCCAGGAACGAGGGGACCAGATTCCACAGAGGGAAGGGGAACCTATCCGTCCTGACACTCCAGACGCCCTGTGACCCCAGCTCACCAACACCCATGAGCCTCCAGACAGGGGGTAAGACGAGGCCAGGAGGCAGGTCCACCGTGGGACTGAGGAGAAGGCAGTGCGGGTTCCGGAACACCTGAGCAGTCCACCTTCTTATAAATTCTCCCCATTTCAATTCAGAGGTCGCTACTGGGGGGGGGGGGCGTCCTTGCTTAAAACAACAAAAATACTGTTTTGAACAACATGGCGGGCCGGTGCCCATGCTGTTTTAATTTGCTGTGACCAGATTGTCCAGCCCTTGTGGATTCGATCCCAGACAGGCTAGCTGGACTGACTCAGGGGGAAAAAAAAAAAGAGAGAGACTCTGTTTTTCAGCCACAAACTGTACCCTTCACCCTGGCCAACTATGTTGCAATCCTCTCTGAAGGTCTCAGCTGAGGTCTTCCAGGAACCCAAGCTCACGGTCTGGATCCCGTTTGCAGACAGCGTGGCAGGCTGACTCTGGGCCATTGTTGTCCCCCATCCCCTGGGGAACCGCCCTGAATGGAGACCCCAGAGTGGGTCTAGGCTCACCCCCACCGTGAAACAAGACAAGGTACAAGTGTGTGGCGGGTCTTCCACACGTGTGTGCTGCATGAAGAGTGCACACCTGGACGGGAGGGAGGGAGGAAGAGAGGCCGGTTCCACTAATGACAAGCCTTTGCACTTCAGGATGACCTCAAAACCCAGGGACAGTAGAGCCTAGGGGTGACTGCTCTAGGGTCACCCAGATCTGAGCCCCTAAATTAAAATCAAGCCTAGTTTACAGTTTTCAGGGGAAGACCCTACACCAAGCATAGGACCTTGTTCAGGAGAAATGTCGGTGACCGTGACCACAGACAAGGGTAAGCTGTTGTGACCCAAAGACTCAACTAAAAAAGCCTTCTGCCCCAAACTTCCGCGGTCCAACCCATTTCCCTGCCCAACAGTCATAGGTACCAAAGTTTCTGTCATCAAGCCTTCAGACCTTCAGGAGTCACAAGGAAACGCGGATAGTCCTATGGGGAAAAGGCTCAGACTCATTAGTGATCAAAGAAATACACGTTTAAATGAACAGATATCAAATTGGCCATTTTTTTTAATTAAAAAGTTAGGTTGGCAAGCGTTCAGAAAGGGACGCCCCCCAGGGGTGCTAAGGGAGTATTAATTGGCATAACCTTTCTAGGTAGCAACTTGGCAATTTGTACCAAGAGTCTCAATCAAGCCTTCCCCGCTCACTCACTCATCCTTCTTCTAGGGAATTTCCCTAAAGAAATAATCAAGGATGTAATCAAACGCTTAGGCATGTGGAAATTTCTTTCAGTGCTATTCATATTAGTTTAAAAAAAAGGGAAATAGCCCCTCTGTGTTCAACTATGAACAAGACAGCCTCCATCAACAATCCATCCATCCATCCATCCATCCACCCACCCATCCACCCACCCATCTACCCATCCATCCATTTATCTATTCATCCATCCACCCATCTACCCATCCATCCACCCATTCACCCATCCATTCATCTACCCATCCACCCATCCATCTACCCATCCATCCATCCACCCATCCATCCACCTATCTATTCATCCACCTACCCATCTACCCATCCATCCACCCATCCATCCACCTATCCAGCCATTTAATTATTCGTTTAGCAAATAGTTATTGAGTGCCTACCATATGCTCAGTCCGATGAGTGATTCCCAATTCAGTGATTGGATAATTAATGATATACATATATAATAAATTATTAGCCAGCTAATGAAATGAATTTTTAAAATAATAAATGACTTAGAAGAATGCTCAAAGTATAATGGTAAGCATGCAATATCAAATTGCACACACAATATGACCCTAATGTTTAAAATGTATACATGTACACACACACAAACACACACACACACACATACACACAGTCTCAAGGGGAAATACATTGAAATGTTCGCTATGGCGATGAGAGTTTCTGTGGTTTTTGCTTTCTTCTTTTATTTTTCTGTCTTTTATAAAAGTTGTTTTACACGGAGCATGCCAGGAAACAAAGCTATCAGCAATTTTTTCCTGAATTAAAAAAAAATTTGCACTGAACCTAAATAATATAAGAACAAAGTTATCTCCATAAAGGAGGAGGAGGAGGGAAACAAACAAACCAATTAAGGCTTGGGGTTGCTCATTCATTCTTTTATTTGACAAACATTTACTAAGAACCTCAGAGACGCAGACTCTAGTCTCCAGACTCAGGCTCCCTGGTAGCTGAGACGTGCTGCCCTGTAAGACCAGTGCACAGGGAGGAGCTATTGCCTGGGCTTCTCGGGGGAAGGGGACAGGAATGGGTCCCCGAGTCAGTAGCAGTGGAGACAACTCTGAAGGGAGACAAAATAAGGCAAGGCCTTGGGTGCCAACACAGAACAGTGAGGATGTGAACAGTGGACACGGTCCCCGGGGTTTCCTGAACTTGGAAGAATCCTGTGGACCTTGGAATCACTGGGGCCTGAGAACCAGGTGGACCCCCCAGACCTGATTGGTTTGACCTCCATTGACTCACAACTCGGAACCATTTCCACAAAACTCCAGACTCCTGGCTTCTTAAAAATCTAGCAACGCTGACCCAGTACCTTCTAGGCCACGGGCAGCTGGGGGCTAAGAAGCCGCTGCCCCCTCGGCCAGTCTCTCTTGGTCACTCCCTTGCCTGGCACCTGGCCTCGGTAGGCATCTGAGATGGCAATCCCTCGTCTGCCCAACCCACCACCCTAAACAGATGAGGAAACTGAGATCCAGGGAGATTCATGGCTCATCAATGTCACTCAGCTGAGTAGTGACCCAGCCCGGACCCAGGCTCCTCACTCTAACCAGGAGCCGGATTCACGGTTGCTTTTTCCCTTACGGGGTCCCAGCTCAGCTTCTGACCCTGGTTCCCTGGTGAGAAGAAAATGTAACTCTAGGCCTGCTCGCGACACCTCGCGGAACCCAGGACGCCGCATTCCAAGAAATGCATCCTTCGGTGGTTTCCCGGTGCCTGAAGATCACGGTGCGTTTTCACAAGCCTAGGCAAATGTTTTGGAACAAATTGTCAATCACTGTCAATCACCAGTCAATCACTGGACTTGTCCTCTGGACACCATCAAGAGATGCAGGACACTCAGAGGGACGAGGCTGTTGCTGGTGTAACACAGCAGAATATTTTACAGTGAACTTTTGGTCTATGAGAGCAGAAGGGGCATACTCTAAGCCAACGATGGACAGTATTCAGTAGGGTGAATACAGACGTTCATCACCGTGATCGAGAGTTAGCTTCTGTACATAGTTATACGGGCCATGCTTTCATAGGACAGGCCGTGCAGCAGGTTTGTTCACACCAGCGTCACCGCACAGGCTAAGAACGCATTTTGCTACGACATCATGACGGCTACGATGTCCCTTGGCAATAGGAATTTTTCAGCTCCGTGTCACCTTCGCAGCTTGCTGTTGATGTGAACACCTCATGACCGTATTAGACGTACAAAACTATTCTTGTGAGTTCATCAGATCTTTCCTTCAGAGTCTTGATGCCCCACGTCCTGTGTTTGTGTTTTCCCAGCAGGAGGGTCACCTGGATCCCAAGAGGACATGAGTGGCAAGAGAAAGAAACATGCTTGCACTGGACAAGGACTTCCACACGTGTAGGGCTTCCAGCACAGTGACCCCTGAGCCTCAGGAGCTCCCTGCAGACGAGGTGCTACTGTATGCCACTCCACAAAGGAGGAAACTGGCCTCCAGAGGTGTAAAAGGCTCCTTCCAATGACTAGTCCACCATGTCCGGCTGCTGGGCGTCTGTGATGCCATCACTGGGCAGGGGAAGGCTGGCCCCCTCTCTCACCACATGGCCAGGCTGGGTTTTGTCCAGGTTCTACTGGGCTGGCAAAGGGGTAAGATTTTTCTCCGTGTTGATGCCCGTGCGGACTGGAACAGGGCCACCCCCGACTCTGTCCTTTGATGGCTTTTACTTATTTTCTGGCTTTGGAACAAGGCAGACGGCAGAGAAGGGACAGAGAGGCGGAGAGGACAGCCTCTCCTTTAAAAATGACCAGGAGCTCCACTGGCCCCTCCTCCCAGCTCCTCCAGAACTGCCCGACCCAGGATCCTGCTTAGCTTAGGGCACAAAAGCCAGGAAATTTCAGAGCCAGTCTCGACCCCGGGGAGGCCAGAGCCCGGGAGCTGGGCTTCCACTGATTCTCCCAGACTGCGGGGAGGAAGGTGGCCGCCCGCCCTCGGCCTGCCCCACGGCAAGCAGGAAATCCCAGAATTTATAGATGACCCTGTCACAAGGCAAATGTTTTGGAACAAATTGTTCTGCTTTTAAATCCTTGTTTTCCACTGGTTTTTTCTTTCTGGGTTCCCCCCTCCTTCCCACCCTCCTGCCGTCCTTGTTAAACCGGGGCCATGGTGCCACCTACTGCCCGTTGTGGGCAGTGGGACTCAACTGGGATCCGGGGACCCTGGGTCTGCTGCCCACCTTTCCCATCTCAGCATGGGTGGGAGGGTGGATTTCTGGCTTTGGTTCTGACAGTCTGTGCTGAAGGTCCTGCACCAAGCTGCTGGAGAACCGCATTGCAGTTATGGGACCCGAAGACTCAAGGAAAACCGTGCCCTCAAGGTTTGGAAAAAGCAAATCAGAGAGCATCACCGTCTGCAAACCAGCGGTGCCAGGGTTGGTCAGTGCCGTCAATCCAGTGGGTTTCCATTTTCTCTGATTCCCAAGGTGTCCTTTTCTAGGTGGCATAAAAATAAATGTGCCTGTGTTGGCTTGCTCTAGGTGCTCAATTAACACGTGTGACCTTTCTCTCCTCTTTAAGGGTGGCTGCGGGGGGGGGGGGGACAGCTCAGCGGGGTGTTAGAGGCAAAGTCCAGACCTCAGAAAAATGGCATCTTTATCTCCTTCTATGAACACGCCAGAGCAGATAGTCAGCTTTGCAAAGCCAGCCAGGGGCTCAGGCGGGAGCCTGGCAGCCCAGTACCTACCCGACAAGCTGGTGACCCTAGGAAAGTTGCTTGTCCCCTCTGAAGCCTCAATGTCCTCCCCTGTCTGTGGGGCCAGTGACAGTAACGGCACCTCAACATGTTGCTGCAAGTACTGACACGAAGCAGGGCACACCCAGAACCCGGCAAAGGGACTGGGCAGAGAGAAGGTATCCAACTGCAGAGACGATTCGGGTTTTCATGGTTTCAGGAGACGTGATGCCTGGTGCAGAAAATGGATCCCTGACAGTCCAGAACTGCTGAGCTGCTCAGGACGTCCCTGGGATCTGCTCTTCCCCGTCCAGAGACCCTGCTTTATTGAGTAAGGGATCCTTGGGCTGGGGCTGGGGCTCAGTGGTAGAGCGCTCACCTAGCACGTGCCAGGCCCTGGGTTCAATCCTCAGCACCACATAAAGATAAATAAATAAAATAAAGGTATTGTGTCCAACTACAACTAAAAAAATAAATATTAAAAGAAAGGATCCTCAGTTTTCCCACCTGTTCAATAGGCATGGCATCTGTCTTACCTGGTGGTCAGAGATACAGAGGGCATCTGGCCAGCAGGTACATGAAACTGCTTTGAAAAGCTTAAAGAGGGAAGGAAAGAGGAAAGGGAGGGGGAGAAGGGAGGAAGGAGGGAAGGAGGACATCCTGAGCAGCATCAGGCCAATTAGCTCCTTTTCTGCTGACACAAATTGAACACACTCTTGACAGTGGGTTCCCCCTCTAACTTAGTGGACACAGGAGAGTGGACGGCTGATCTCAGGTTGCTGGGGAGCCTTTCAGCAGAAGAGAGGTGGATGGGGCCGTGTCAGGAAGCAAGGTGGAGGCCAATTCTGACTTAGTCCCAGGGGTCCTAGGGAGCCACAGACAATTCATAAGCAAGGGAAGGGCATGACCAGGAAGAAGATTCAGGCAGCAGCAGGAGGGATCAATTACAGAAAGGACCACGAAGCTCCTCCCATGTCGTGTGGCCTAGACTGGAGGTAGCCAGCTGTCCTGGCTTGCGTGGGACACAGCAGTTTCCCGAGACATGTGATCTTGAGTTTTTAAAACACACCGAAGTCCCAGTGTGGATGATACCTCCTAGAATCCAGCAATGCAGTGATTCTGACTAGAGCCCTTTAATCCACAGGTCTCACACCTCTGCATCCGCTCTCAAAAAATAACCCATCTTGTCTTATTTCCTCCCAGTTCTGTCCTCCTGAGCTACGTTAGCAGAGTAATGCATCAGATGGACGATTGCTGGCCCCTTCAAGGTAATAGTTGTGCATTTAAGCACCACCATCTCCTGACGATGATGCTTTCATCCAACAGAGTAACTGACACTGTTAGCCCAGGAGAGATGGGGAAGATGGTGAGGGAGAGCATGCCACGTCACTCACATCTCATCCGGTCCACAGCCATTTATTTTTCCTTGCACAGGGCCTCCTGGCTCTCAGCTCACCAGCCCACCCTGCCCAAGCAATCCTGCAGGAGCCGGGGCTGCTTGAATATTCTGTAAATAATGCTGACTCCAGAACTTCAGAGATAGACTCATGGAATCTCAGCAATAGAATCACAGAATGTCAGAGGAGAAACAGATGCTAGACAGCACATGGTCCAGGGTCGGAAAATACACCTCACTCCGGCTGCCGCTTCCCCCTGCCGTGCCCATGGCAGACATCACTAATCAATCATGACACTGTCTGGCTGAGCTTGTTTGCAGCCTTCGGATCCTTCAAGACAGCTGTGAGTGATCTTGGATCAGTAAATCAGAGCTAAGGATTATTGAACACCCTTACTGAATTCCCTTTCCCACATTCCACTTTAATCACCAACTGTTTGCCAGCTATTTTCTATCAGGGATTCTTAGCCTCGGCACCATGGGTATGTCTGGGCTGGATCACACGTGGTGGTGGGAGACTGTTATCAGAAGACAGCATCCTTGTCCTCTTATACTCTAGGTACCAAAGGAAGTCCCTTCCGTTAAGTTGTGACAACCTAAAATCTCTGTGACATGACACATGTCCCCTGGATA